GTTAAGTCTTTTTTCTATTCAGTATTATTTTGAGGTAAGCACATTAACTTTGCCCAAACTGTCTCTAGGAATGGGTTCCAGACAGCTGTTCTGTTCACAGGAGAAACAGAACACATGTGAATGGAGTAGTATCAAGACTGCACATTTGACTATCAACTCTGAACAAATCAACTAGCAGGTGGTTCATGCATATGGGACAATGTTTGGTTTTTCCTTTCCTTATGTGGGTATAGGGGAATACACAAGGCTGGAAAAAGAAGGAGAATATTAAAGAGGAATGCTGCTCTGAAGTGAGAGTAACCACCATAAAACCAGGCAAAAGGCACTCCTGGGGTTCTAAGTAACCTTCAGTTTACTGGAGAGAGAGGGAAGACAACTTCAGGTCTGGGCAATTCAGTTTTTTATCTCTTTTTGTTTTGTTAAGGATTTTAATCCTCAAATACTTCCAGGAACAAAGAGATCATTGTTAAAGTCCTTCATCAAGCTCTGTTTTGGGCTTTTCATAAGGCACTGTTCCTGTTCATAACCCTGTTCCTGTTGAAGGAGTCAGAAGGACTACACACTATACTGGAGGACCTAAGATATCTCAGATACTAACCTTAGGGTCCAAGGTCCTCTACCCTATGGTAGGGCACATAATGAAGTTTGAACTTCTAATGTAGAAACCATGCCTAGTTGGACTACATAACTGTGTCCAAACTCTGGCAAATGTGGACTGGACCATAAATTCTTCTTCAAAGACAAACTGGGTCTGAGCACACTGACTTGCCTCCTTGGTGAAAATCACTAAGTGTGTAAATAATTTCTAGGGATTGCTGAAGACAAACTGCTAGCATGGAGCTTGTGAAGCTGTAAGAACACAGGTCAGAGAAGAGAGATGGTACCGGGGTAAGATTCAGGCTGTGATACTGGAGGCTAAGTATCAGCATCTAAGAGCAGAATCCTCTTAACTCCCCTCAGTATTGGGCAGGGGACCAGAGAGACAGAGGCTTAAGTTATAGCACAGAAAATGGCATAAGGAAGCTGAGTTTCCATCCATGACAAGCTCAGAAAAGTAGGGAGAATGATCTTTATACTAACAGAATGAGAGAAGGGTAGGCTATCAGAAATAGAAAGACACTATCTGAGCTTTTAAAGAGGGGACTAATGAAAAACTAAGGACTAATGAAGATAAAGAAGAGCATCCAGTTCAAGATGGTGCACAGTTGAGGCTGGGGAATTGAAATGACAAATTTTAAATGAGAATTTTCAGACAATAGCTGGTAACTTGACAGAATACAATCAGTGTAACAAAGTAATACCACAAAACATATTATGTGAGAATCACAGAGAAGTTCACAGTATTGGAATGGTGGTGCTATTCACTTTTTTTTTTTTTTTTTTTTTAAAAAAAAACCACAACGAACTCACAGGTAAATAAACTAACTCTATCAACAAATACCAGAGAATCCCAGTGGAATACAATTCTGGACTTAAACAAAAAAAGCTTTGGTGACCACCTGACCAAACCTCTAAGAACGGAAGTGACATGCTGACCAAGAACAGAAATGCAGCAGGGGCAGAAGCCACAAAAATAAAGGGAACTTGAGTCACTGCATCTCCCAAGTACACTGAGAAAATGCTATGCTAATGCACGATGCTTAAATTAAAATTTCAGACTACATAAGTGACTGACTAATAGACAAAATAGTCAGCAAACACATGAGAGGAGAAGCAGCTCCCGGCTTTGTCCAGAGTAGTCTACAAGACCTAATTCAGAATGTTACCATCAAAAGCCACTCAGTAACAACTCCCAACGTGTACTTAGACTCACCATTCTTGCAGAAGCAGAAAAAAGACAAATAATCCACTGTCTACTTTCAAAAAGTGATACTAAATAAAAGCATGGAACAAAATTGTAGAAATATCAGAAGAATATGTGAAGGTAGAACAACAGGCCAGAAGAAGAAATATGAAGTTGTCTCCAGATGAAGAATATGTAAAGAACAAAGTCTGGAAAAGGTAAATGTAAAATAAGAATAAATGTAAATGTAAAATGTAAAATGGAATAAAGAAGGCTATGAATGTTTTTGAGCAGTATACCAAGCGCGTAACAACTCAGAATAAATCACTTTAAAACATCACACGGCCAACGTGTTTGTAAAGTTGTAAAAACTGGGAAAGTACAGGGCGAGTGTTAAGTTTTTCCTGCAGAGAGAGGTCACCAGTGAAGTCCCAGAGGTGCTGGGACATGACTGTTTAAGACATGCAGAAGTTATCTAGACAAGCAGGTGAATAATGAGGTGATAAACTTTGCTGATCATACTAAGTTAATGAGTGTAGTCTCAATAAATATGAAGTTATACATAGAAGAAAAATAGCCTAAATTTTACATATAAATGCTGAACTCTGAATTGTCACCATTCAAAATACAAATACTGATGTTACAATAAACAGACTTATGTCAACGTTAGCTGTTCTTGAGAATGTTAGATGTCTGTTCTCATGTTCTTTAAATTAAACTACCAGTATAATTAAACACTAGTCCTCATTACTTGGTATAGTTTAGAAATAAATTTGATGGGAGACCTTCAAAGTCATTATGATTCCAAATTACTCATTACTATCCACTACTTTCACAAATATTAAAGTGATTTTTAATTTGTAAAAAGGTGACTATATTTAAGTATGTTAGCACAGATGTATGGCATGGAATTCCACTGATGATAAAGATGTATGTAAAAAAGCTGGTCACCGTAAATTAAAGACATCAAATCTGTTCTCAAAACACAGCCAGCAAATGCCAGCATTTCCCAGTCTTGGCTATAGAGCAGAATAAAGAGAGTTTTATAAAACTAATAATAAAGAGGCAGTTATTTCACTTCTCTTTACACATATATGTGTACGCCTATGGCTATCTTTAAAGCTTTTTCTCCCGTGTTACAGTCTTGTAATTATTTCAAATTTTTATAACCCTACATGAGTCATCTTCATGCTGAGGAGTTTATGTCATGAAGTTAATGTGTATGCAATCCATTTTTTTCACTGTTGTCTACAGACAGTGTAAATTTTGGGCTGTTTGTCATTTTTCCAATTAATAAAAAATAGAATTAAAAAGTTAATTCAGTATACTACATCAGATTTTTCTTCCCCGAAACAGCTTTGCGAAACACTGTGCATGTCACGTACTACTAGCAGCATATAGACTTGTGATTATATATGAACTTTTACCTCAACACAGGTTTTCATCCCTGAGGCAGCAGCATAGTGCAAAGGTGTATTTTTTTTGTTATCAACAGCATCAATAGCTGCTCGTTCATATTGTCCTTCATCCAGCTTTGCTCCCTTCCACTTCAGGATCATTTGCAGACAATCTGCTCTTCTGCAGTCGTCTTCTGAGGGTCGTGTCAGGCGAGGATGAAGAGCTCCTTCCGAGATCATGATTTGAGGTCCCATACACAGCAGGTGCATAGATGTCTCATTGTGCACATTCCGTTTATTTGGGTTACCATCTCTAACAAAAAGGAAAGTTCTGCAAGGTGGGGAAAAAGTAGAAGAAAAATAATTAGCACACATTTCCACTCATTTCCTTGAAGTGGGAAGGGTCTGTTATGACTGCTCTCTCCTTGCCAAGATTTTGATTAGCCATATTAATGATAAACTTTCTTAATAGATAATTACTACTGCACAGCTCTCCTTCATTTCTTTTACGAGTCAAGAGTCAAGATCTGGATGAATTACTGAAATATCATTAAGTACCACATACAATTACTTTGTCAGTGTGTGACACAAATTTTAATTGGCAAAGTTTATTCTACAATCCTGTGTTGGATTGCAATAAATGTCATTAAGTCACAAGACTGATGAAACAGATACTTCGTTTTTTTCTCCTCTGTGTCCTGAGTAGTAGTGCATTTGGTAGGTTGCAAATAGATAATGCCAGAGCGATTTCTTAAAAATTCATTCTCCTTTCCCATATCTTTAGCCAGATGTCAATGAAGTACTTACTACATCCTCAAAATACACGAAATACTTTTCCTGATAGCACTGCACGCATTGAGGAGAGACTCCATTTGCTTTCTCGCTCTAGAATACATTGAAGTGCAACATAATGCAAACCCTCACCTATGCAGATGACAGAGGCTGGCAAGAATTTAAATCTTCTCTTGAATGCTTTAGAGGCAGTTCAAAGTGGACAATAAACTATACCGGCCAAAAGGATCAGCTTGGGAATGGTAGGGAAGGAACAGACTCATTCCTGGAATCACAGCTCTGATTCCTGACAGCTCCTGAGACAATGCAGCGCTCTGCTGCTTCTTGCCAGCAAGGAATTACAGTAGTTACAATCCAGTTCTGAAACGGAAGCACTGAGACATATCATAGAAGCCCTGTGAACCCAAACTTGCTTTAGCCTTTTGAAGTATACCAAAATAGTAATTTTTTTCTTAAGGGAGACTGCATGGTAGGAGATGGCAGAGAAGAAAGACTATCTCTTTGCAGGGCTGGGGTCAGTCAGAGAGACAGCAACAGTGAAAGAACTCCATGAGAAGGTAGGAAGGGCAGTTTCCAGAGACATAATACCAGATTAGATTCCGTAAAACAGTTTCAATCACTTTCAGTTTAAAACAGGCAGCTCAGCCACCTGAAGGCAGGCACTGCCTAAATACAAAATCAGACCTTGGTGAACAGCAGAGAGCAGGAGAACTTAGTAACCAAATTGACAAAATAAAATGTTATTTACCTCAGTTTTTGCCTTATGCTATGGTTACAAGTCCAAATACCACAACCCCTGTCTGTTGTCCCTGAATACATCCCAGGTGCTACACAGTATGCCTTTCTCTCTCAGAGCTCTCCCATGCTTTGTTCAGCACAAAGAATAATCCCGAAACTCTTTTATTAAAGGAAGAGGCTATACAGGGTGGGTGTGGAACTTCCCTTTCGGAAATTATTGAAAACAGACTGGACAAGTATTTCTGTAGAAAAAATCAGGTACAGATGACCTGGTCCTGCAATGGAAGGATGTCTTAAATAGTAGCCATTTGGTCAGCCAAATTTCTGACCTTTCTTCCCTCTGAAAACCTCTGAACAGTTTGAGTTCAAAATGAAACTTATTACTAAAATACTGTTTTCTTAAATAAGTGGTAACAAAGCATTCAGAGGAAAAGATAAAAACAAAACAGTCTTTTCTATGTTGCCCTATTTTGGCAGCAAAAAATGTTCCTTAGAGAAATCCCTCTTTCATTCCATGACAGCTGACATGATAGATGCATTTGTTAGGAAATACAAATATGCCAAGTTTGAGATTAAAGATGTTGCCAAAAAAGTGATAGCACATTTTGTTTGCTTGTTTTTTTTTTTTCTTTTCAGAGGAAAGAGATTTAGCAACACAGGCAAAATGCTTCACAGCCAATTGCATGAAATAGTAAGACTAACCAGTTTCAAACACTTTCCTTATTTGAATTAGCCTTACACAGTCTGAAACTAGAAATGGAAAGAAAGGAGGGGAAGGAAACGGGGAAAGAACAGAGACAGAAGGAGGGAAAGCAGAGGGAGGGGAAAAGATAACTCATTGGGGGAGAGGAGATGAATTCTATACAGGCACTTGGATATGAGAATGCCAGATGCCTTAGATATGAGGTTTTGCAGGTATCCACTGCAAAACCTGGATATAGAAAATATAGGGCTAAATCCAAGTCATCTTGGTCTCCGTGAGATGTAACTTTGGAGACTCACTAAAATCTGAGTTTCTCTACTTTTGCAATAAAATCTTTTTTATGGTATACCAGTATCCGTTTTTCCATTAACTCCCTTTCACAATTTGATTCGTTATATTTTTACCTCAAGTAAAGATCACCCCCAACTTAGCCTTCAATGCATTTGTAAAGTGCGGTATGAACAAAAATGCAAAGCTGTTACTTTTTCAATTCAGAGTCCTTAAGTCAAGAATAAAGAAAGTGTTTGGTTTTTTTAAAAATTTTATTATTCCCTCCTCACCCTACCCATGGCATTTACTATCCATATGCCTCCTAATGTTCCATCCCAAAATTCTTCCATCTTCCTTAAGAAAAAAAAAAAAAAGAGATCACAGCACTGGGAAGAAAGAGGCAGCAGCCGAAGACTGTAAAAGACTTCATGTGTGGCTCCTTTTTCAGCAGTTTTTAAAACTAGAAAACACTGATGTTCAAGTCAGTAGGCCCAGATATTTTCACCTGATGTCTGTAACATAAAGCTTGTAAAGGCAGCAGACAACTGTTATCTTCAATTTCGCTGTGGAATGAGCGCAGAAGAAAGGGTGATAAAAAAGGGGCCAGACTCCGACTACAGTGGCCTGCTGTACGGTAGCAAAAGCACCAGTTTTTCGAATGCAGAAGCATTCAACTGGAATCCCTGAGGACATACAATTGAGGACATAACAAGATTAAAGGCTTCAACTGGCACAGAGGCACAGCACCAAGCTCGCTGTAGGAAGCTAACAGAAACAATTCAGCAATGCAAAGACCACAGACTTTGTCCTTCACATCAAGTGCCTGAACTCTATTTGAAGGTTTGCACTTACACTGTGGAACACAGTGGCTGGCTGCCCTAATTAGACATGTTTTGAAGGCAGGAGAGTCCTCTGGATATTTGTTAACCACATCTTTTCCTCCCACTCCAAGTTGCTTTATACTCAATGTACTGATTCCTGCTACTTCTCTAATTCAAAGTAAAATGTTACTTTAAAATTCAGTGAAGAACTGTCTGTGGTTTCTGTATGACACTGAATCAGGGCTTGAGTTTTTTTTAATTGCAAGAAGACCCTCGTTGTCTCCTCCCAAACCAGATGAAGTTTCTCTAGTATCTTTAGCTATCTAATCATTACCTTCTATGGTTGGTAACAGTACAATGTTCATGTCCGTTTTCAATATCTAGCTCTTTATCATCAGTGGAATTCCATGCTGTGGTATTCTAAAGCACGTGATTCACTCCTGAATCAGGTTACAGTGCATCTGATTTCAGAATAGCACAATGTTTTTGTGATGACTCATGAGAGCCATAAACCAGACACTTTACAAAACAGTATTCTACACACAAACAAAAATATTCATAACCTCTGCTAACATAATAGTAACATTAACTGAATCATATCAATTGAAGAGACCATCCTGCCTATATTCACCTCCCTGCCTTTGTTTTTTAAAAAAACTGACTGTATTTTTCCCAACGACTGATGAAATTCTTTAATAATCCCAACCTATGGGAATTTCTTCCCTATTTGACTGACTATATGCTGTAACCTGTTAGTTTTCCATTACTAAGACTTACCTATGTTTATAAATGAAGCTTTGTAGAAGACAAATGCTGAATGGATACAAATGCTCTCCCATAGCTCAAGGTAGGTATTTCACCTTATCCTTTACAGTTCAGTGGTTCTGCCCTAGGCTGAAACTCTGTGCATAAAACTAGAATTTGATGGCTGTCATATCAGTACCCCTTTTTAAATCCTGAATTTCTCTCTAAAGGGTTAAACAATAGTTTAAAAGGTAACTTTAGTAGTGAGTAACTATTAGGTAAACTTTTTCCACCATAAAATTAAGCTCCTGGGAAAAAAAAAGTTAAACTCTTGTTTTAAGAAGTTACGTATATCCTAATCAAAATGAGAAGTGCTGATGTCCTGCCTGCTTGCAGATTCTCTGTTCTTAAACATATAGAAAGGCACTTTTCTGTATTAACTAAATGATTAAAAGCTCTAGGATAGATTTAAGTCTTTTAAAGTGTTATTGCACTGTTTTACTATCGCTTCATAGCACAAAGAATATCCCTGCTCAAATAAGTCTATCAGCAAGGTAGATTTTCAACCCCATCAGCAAGAAATATCAGCAGATTTTTTTTCCAAGAAAGAAATCCAAAAAAACCTCCCTAGAAGGCTATTCCCTTGCCTAAGTTTAACGTTTGCCCTTCTGCCAAAGTTATCCGCTAAAAAACCTCCAATCACCTCTAAATATTTTGAAAACTTCATAAGAACCATACGCAAATTTTTGCGAACAATTTTGTGGCATTTGTAAAAATCACTGTTGGCCTTTGGGAAAAATTAGGCTTGATTACTTGTTCTCCTTGCTTGTCAACTTCTGTGACTCATAAAAGGATGTGATAAGCACCAGAGCTATCACAGTATTCCCCCTTTTTCTCTCTTTAATCTCTTCCAGAAGTCAAAGGATCCGCTCTTCAGTGCAAGGGGACGTCAAGCCAACAATGAAAAGCCCAGCTGAACCCATGACTCAAACTTCAGAGATGACTAGTGTCCAAAACCCAGTAAATGAATACATTTTACATCCACAAATTCATTGTTCGACAGGGCTCCATTTTTACCAGTGCTTTTTGATGTGTAAGACTTCCACAGAAAAGTGCCACAGACCCCTGCAATTTCGCTCACAACTTCAGAGGTATAAAAAGCTAAATTTTGCCTGGAAATGTACTGATAGAGTGAAAATATGCATTGCCTATGGGAAATACCACCTGACCACAAGGCAGCCAGACTTTAGTTGCTGTTTCCAGACTTTGCTTCAAGCTGTAGCTCTTTGCAGAATTCAAACTTGAGGTGACAAAAGCACCAAGAAAGTGTTGAAAATAGTGACAAAAAAGAAAGGGCTGTAACATTCACACCTACTACTATCTGTATTTGCAGAAAAGCAGCAAGAGACCCAAGATCACAAGGCTGTGAACTTGAATAATAAACAACTGACAAATTCCCTCCCCCTGTGAAACTAACGTCAACACATTTTAATAAAATCTTTCATGTTCGGGGCATGAAAACCACCATATTCACAGTCTCTTTGTCTCTCTAAAAAATTGCTATATACATTATAGCTATATGTATGCACACACATTTATATATATATGCATGCATATAAAAAATATGAAAATGTACCTATGTATAGAAAAATACAACCAAAATAAAAACTAGTGTAAAATGAAATTATAAAGGTAGTTCTGACAGCTGCAGACTGAAGCAAGTCTGAATCTGCTCAAAGACAGAGAAATTTACTCATTTTTGAATGCAAAGCACTTAAGTATACTATGTAAACTACACAGCAAATTGCATCATTGCTTTAAGCAAGACAAGTAAGGTACTGGAAAAAGGTGAGCTGCAGCAACAAGGTAACTAATCTGCACAGGGCTCCCTTTCGGCAGGGGAAGAACTTTTTAAAAAGTCCAGTGACAGGACGAGGGGTAATGATTGGAAGCTGGGAGAGGGCAGGTTTAGACTAGATACAAGGAAGAAGTTTTTCACCCTGAGGGTGGTGAGACACTGGGACAGGGTGCCTAAGGAAGTTGTGGATGCTCCATCCCTGGAAGTGTTCAAGACCAGGCTGGATGGAGCCTTGAGCAGCCTGGTCTAGTGGGAGGTGTCCCAGCCATGGCAGGGGGTTGAAACTAGATGATCTTTGAGGTCCCTTCCAACCCAAACCATTCTGTGATTCTATGATCCCCTCTTGTCCTTGGGTTAAGATAGCCCCCGTAACTCTGGCTTGCTATTAAAAAAGTTACATTGCAAACTGCAGTGCAGGCAGAAACCTAAAGCTCGTAATGTTCTGAGCATTAAGAGAAGTAGGGGTAAGCCATGAGTTACAACAACATACAGAAGAGCCAAGCCCTGTTACCTGGTAATTTAAGTCATATGCAATGCATTAATTCATACAATTATCGAATCATTCAGCTTCCAACACAGTAGGTCAACACTGATGCATTAAACCTCGAATAATCATAGTTATTTCATTAATTCAAAGTACTTTTTCCTCCAAATGTACTATAACAAAACAACCACATGCACTAGCAAGCACCTGAAGAAATCTTTTTAGTCATTTTACACAGCTATGCAGAAGTATGAGCTGGTTTAAATAATTCTGTGAAGAGTATTATTATTTACTTGATATTGAAAGCCTATTAAAAGTAATTATTGGCAATTTTATTCATTATATAGCGCTAGAAAATTCTTATTAGAACTTAGTTTCTTCTCTGTTTCATTAAGATTCTTAAGCCTCTCTTACAGCCCAGGAATCTCCTGCATGCAGTAAAGACCTGGGCAGGAGACAGCGACTATTTCTATTCTAGGATAAAGAATCTGCTGGCAGATCATTAACCATTTATCAAAGAAAAAACACAGACTATTACCCTGACTTTTTGTAAGCCTTAAATTCCATTGGCCCCTTGCATAAGAACTGTTACTAACACTACCAGAATCCCCATAAACACTGGTAATATCCTGCCAGACTAAGGAGTGAGGTTATACCAGTGGTGACTTGGGTTAACAGCAAAGCAAGCACCTGAGAGGCTGTCACGGTACCGCCTCCACTTCTGATGGAAGTCTGTGAAGAGCTAATTCTTCCTTCTGAAATCTGGAGTCTTCACAGACATTTCACGATTGCTTACGTCAAGGGCTCCACTCTGGCCTCCAATTCTGTATTTTTCCTAAACAAAAATGCCTCCCATTTGTTCCCATTCATACGACTTTTACCAAGTACGGTACATATGCAAAATGGGTTAAAACCATTTCCTGAGTATCCAAACAATTTCTGCAGATTTTCAGAGAAAACCACCAATTTGAGAACCAAGTCCAGACTATGGCACATACAAATCATGTCTTTTACTTAGAGCCATGGAACTCTTTGACTCTGCCAACATATGCCTTTCTGGAACTATTTCACTTACGGACTTAATGTAATGTTCAAAATTACTGCCTAGAAAACAAGCACTGTCTTCACTCTCTCCTAAACTGGCTCTAAAAAAGCCTTATACTCTTTTTCACTGTATTGCTGTCATTTCACCTACGGTTTTCCCAAACAGCTTGTTTCTAAAAGACTACTAAAGTGATTAAAGGTCAGTCAGCACATGGGTCTGAGTTCGACTTCTGGACCGACTCCTGTTAACGTAGCCCATCACCTAAAGACACCTAAGAAATGTCTTATACAAATATGCATCAATAAAGAACTTGCTATTCTCTTTACTAAAAAGACGGTAACAGGTTGAAAAGTTCCTTTGGTTTAGTGGTTTTGTTTCAGCTAATATGATCAAGTATGACCTTCTGTAGATAGACAGTATTCTTTGCCTTGGTACACCTGTCCTGGGTTTGGCTAGGATAAGGTTAATTTTCACAAGAAACTGGAAGGGGGCACAGCCAGGACAGCCAGTACAGTATAACTGTATAACTACTCATATAAATGTGAGCGAAAGAAAAATGACGAGAATGTTAATAGCAGCTCTTTGTCTAATATGGGCAAATAGGAAAAGCATGGAGTTACTAACCAAAGCAACAGGGTCCCTGTGTAAGGAAATTTGTATTGAATTTATGGAAGTTTTCAGTAGGCTGTTCAGAAATCCTGGAGGAGTCTTTTTTTTTTTTTTTCCCCTCTCTTTTGTTTTAATTCTTCATGGTAACTGAATGAATAGATTTGTTTGGTGTTTTCCAGGCAATTTTGCAGCTCATTTGGGAAAAAAAATTATGAAAGTATAATAGTTGCATATGCTTCTTTCCTCTAAGTTTTGACTTCTGATTTTTGTATAAAAGATATCCACCTAATTGGTGCTCCTCATGACTTCCTCTTCTTGCTACTAGTTTTTTTTTGCACCCTTGGGAAAGCAGGAACCTTAGGTTGCAGTGCTCCTCTGTGCACACATTTAGACACTGTTTAAATGCACTTACTAAAACAATCATCTGTTCCCCACATTGTTCTTATTTTTCTCTCCTTGGAAATCAGATACTGCAGAACAAGGTCGCTTCGTTAGTGGCTGGTGAGATGAGATATATTAATGCAGTACACTGTTAAAAGATTTCTTGTTCTGTGTTGTCTGTTCTCCTTAGCAGAACCCTTGCAAACATTTTACCACTGAGAAAGTAAAATTATATTTAGGTTGT